GAGAGAGAGAGAGAGAGAGAGAGAGAGAGAGAGAGAGAGAGAGAGAGAGAGAGAGAGAGAGAGAGAGAGAGAGAGAGATTGAAGAGTTGGAAGATGGTGAGAAGAGGTACATGCAGGGGAAGGTACATTGAGGAGCAGCCGGTGTAGGCAGTGCACGTGGAATCTGTGCCTTTTTCTCTACATTTCCATTTTTGCAGGCAAAGCGCACATTCATTTCATTCATACAACCGGATTGAGGCCGGTGTCCTCACAGTCTATCCGGTGTTGGGCTGCCAATAATCTACCTTGGCATTACCCAGTCTCGCTTACGCACATGTGCACCTGCGATCACTATGTCAAGGGACACGAGTGCCCTGGCAATAATCAGATCAACCAACACTTCAGCTAAGCTAATCTACCTACCGTCTTCGCCCGATACAACGTACAGTCATTCCTGCTGTGTCTAGACTCGACGTTGCTCCAAATACAGACAGACATAATAACCATCCATTGTATTCGGCTGAAGACGGTATACTACATTGTGGGACCCCCTCCCTACTGCTGTGTCTAGACTCAATGTTGCTCCAAATGCAGACAGCTATAATAACCATACGTTGTATCCGGCTGAAGACGGCAGACTACATTGGGAATCCCTTCCTCCCTCAACCGGGAGGGGGGAACCGACATGGTTCCTGATTTGTTTGACGCCGCAACAGGTAACCTAATAGAAGTGAAAATAACTATCCCCCCCTCCCCCCCCACACACGAAAAAAAAAGGAGAAACAAAAAGCGATGACGACGGAAAAAAAAGAAAAAAAAAGAAAAGCGATGACGAGTTCACCCCTGACAGGATTCATCTGATACCTTTTTCGGCCTTTCGGCTAAGATCCAAGTGCAGTATATCTGTTCCGATTAGTTTAATATCTGATCCGTGGCCCATCGGGCCATGTAACGAAAAAAAAAAAACAAAGAATTCATCTGGTCGTGAAGACGCGCAGGTGCACCATCTGCACACGGGAATGTATGATCTAGCCGTCGCATTCTTACAAGGCATCTGTGAGATGGCATTCCTGACCTGGAAAAAAACTGCTCTCAAAATGTGGAGGATGCCTGAGGCAGGGAGAATCGGCGGTCCAGATCCCGACTAGGGAAGAGCCAAGTGCCGTCCAGATCCCGACTTGGAAAGAGCCAGGAGACACGGCCCCCCACCGCTCTGGAAGGGAAGGACGCATTGTGAAATGATAATTCAACAAGACTGACTATCCCATCTTCCCCCGATCACAGCGCATACAAGCTATATTTCCAGTCCAATGCAGTCGCGATCAGGTGCGTCGTGCTTCAGGAAAGCGCCTCGTTCCACACCACTTCACTTCACTTGAAACTCGAGTGCGCACTCATGTTGAAAAAAAGTGATTAAAAAATACCTCCTGAGTCACGCCTCGCTCCACTCAACCCCTCAGAGTCCGCCCTCGTGATGAGCGGGAACACGGTGCTGCTGCAACAGCTCGTGCGAGGTTCAACCAGGACACATGCGGTACAAAAACGAGAAACAACAACAACAACAACAGAAAACACATTGGGGGCTTGTACACACACCTGCAGCGCCGTTTTCGAGTGGAGCTCAAGCTCAAGCGTGACCAGAGAGGTGCCTTGAAAAACGGGTAGGTTCGCCTGGGCCGCAATTGAGTTGCCCTCAAGCTTTTCCCCGCCCCTTTGCTAAGCCCGAAAACCTAATCACGGCCCGGTGATTAGCGAAACTCGAGGCAGGGCACAGTGGAACAGTGTTGGGCAAGAAAACCTTCAGTTTTGGGTGGCGTGGACTGAGGCCCAAAGACGGGTAGAGCGGGGACACATAGGGCATACTCAGGGCATACTCAGGGCATGCTCACACTAGGCCTGCAAAATCGCAAAATCACGGGCAGATCGAGTCCTTGAAAAGGAACGACTCTATTCTGGGCGTGTTCAGGGCCTAGTGTGAGTGCACTCTGACACTAGGCCCTCAAAATCGCAAAAGGGCAAAATGAACGGCCAGATCGAGTGCTTATAAGCAGAGGGCTCTATCTGGCCGCCCGCTCATTTTGCAATTTTGCGATTTTGAGGGCCTAGTGTGAGTACGCCCATACGCTACTGAAGATGCATGCTTGTTTTTTGGCGGGAACATCTCACATACGGTGCAGAAGATGAACGCATGTCTCTTGTCCGTGGCGGGAACGGGAACATCTCACATACGTTGCTGAAAACGGACTTTTTTGGTAGGAACATCTCACACGCTGTAGTAGCAAAAAGCCATCACGACAATCTATCGGCTTCATGGTTTGTTTGTTTATAAAACAAAGAGGGGGTAGCCGCTGACATTATTATTGAGCTCAACTGACTCCATGAGGATTCGAACGCGTGATCTGGCTTCACGAACAATTACATTGGTGCAAATTCAGCCACGTGGGCAAGGTTTCAGCCACGTGGGCAAGGTTGCATTCTATCTATCAGAACTTGTCAAAGAGCAGAGAGACCAAGGGCCAGGCTCCGCTACTCTCCAAATGTGCAAAAATGAGACTGAATTATCCGCTAGAACATGGACAAATACATTGCCATCTTTTTTGTCTTTTGTGCAAGTTGAGAGTAGTGGAGCGAGGGCAAAAAAGGAACCAACTTCGGAGTTGCCTGCTCCTAGAACCTTAGGGCCTCGCTCCAGTACACAAAACTCTACATGCATTTGGACGCCCTCTGGACCAGGTGCGTTCGGACGAGGCCGACATTTTGAATGTATGGGTACCACAAAGCGTCCAAATATGGGTACCACAAAGCGTCCAAATATGGGTACCACAAAGCATCCAAATGCATGGAGAGTGCTGTGTAATGGAGGGAGGCCCTTGGTCAAACACACGGAAAGGCGGAGTTTTTCTAGAACCTTTGTCAATAAAAAGGGGACCCTTGTGAGCGTCGGTATGGAGATGAGCCATTTGGCACACAGAGGAGCAGAGCACAAAGGGCCTCGCCACACCACCGTCAAAAAAAAAAAGAAAAAGGAATGCATCTTCCCGGAGAAAGTGGCAAGATATGAATAGCAACGGGTGCATCTTACCACTTTCTGCGGAAGATGCACTCCTCTTTTTTTGCTCTTATCGACCCCTTCCTTTAAAAAAAACAGAGCTCTGCGTTGTGTGCACAACTTTCTGCCAAATGACATCAGTCAGAAAAAGAAGAAGAAAAGCCCTATGACAGGTAGAAGAAGGAGAAGAAGAAGGAGAAGAAGAAGAAGAAGACGAAGAAGAAGAAGAAGAAGAAGAAGCCTCTCAAGTGGAAGGAGAAGAAGAGGAAAGAGAAGACAAAGGAGTGCATCTTCTGAAAGAGGAGAACCCTAAAAACTACTGCCTCTAAAGAAGAAGAAGAAGAAGAAGAAGAGACACTTCTTAAGTAGGAGAAAAAAAAGAGAGGAGGATCTTACGACGAAGAAGAAGCAGGAAGAAGAAGAAGAAGAAGAATGCCGCTCAAGTGGAAGAAGAAGAGGAGGAAAAAGAAGACAAAGGAGTGCCTCTTCTGAAAGACAAGAGAAGAGTCAATACTGCCCTCTCAAGAAGATCGCGGATAAGAAGAAGAAGAAGAAGACGGAAAAAAAATCTTAAGTTGGAGACAAAGAAGACAGTAGGAGGCTCTTACCAAGAAGAAGAAGAAGAAGAAGAAGAAGAAGAATGTCGAAACAAAAAAAGAGTGCATCTTCCGCAGAAAGTGGTAAGATGCATCCGTTGCCATTCATAGTAACGGGTGGATCTTGCCACTTTCTCCGGGAAGATGCACTCCTTTTTTTTTTTTTGGACGATGGTGTGGCCAGAGAGAGAGAATCTTAAAGAGGAGAAACAGAAGAGTGTCACTGAACACGAAGACGAAGAGGGAGGAGGAGCCTCTTAAGAAGAAGAGGAAGAAAAAGGTGCATAAGAAGAAGAAGAAGAGAGAGAGAGAGAGAGAGAGAGAGAGAGAGAGAGAG